GGGCATGTGTAGCGTTTCTGTCAAGAAAAATTGCTTCTGAGCTCGGAGAGAAAAGTTCCCCATGACGCTGGACTTAAGTGCTACCGTAGGGACCTACATCAAGGTTGCCCTTTGGGCTGAAAGGTGCTACGGGAACCTACGTTCCCACTGTGACTTCTGACAGCACTGGTGGGGGAGGCACTTGCAGAAGCCGTGCGCCACGGCAGCAGTGAGCCGGCCTCGCCATCCGCAGAATGGCTCTGCCATCCATGAACAGAATAGTGCAAATCCACTCACATGGGGAAATGGAGACGATGAAGGAACAACGTCCACAAAGCCCTGGGCTCTGGGCAGTTGTGGGGCATTTGTCTTTGAGATTCTCCACCCTCATCATGATAGGGATTCCTGCTCTAAGGGAGGGGAAAATCCCCAGGAGCCTTGACAATCTGCCCCGGGGGGGAGGGGGAATCCTTCCTGCCTCGTAATCTGGTGACCAGTTTAATCCTGTGCATGTGACTAAGAGTCACAGCCATGATGCATCTAATCCTGCGTAGATCCGGAGATACTACTAGGCTCACAGCAATTGCTCACCGCCTTACATCAAGCCTTCGGTTGCAACTCTGGGCCCCATGTCCCTGCACCCTCTGGTCTCAGGGCTTTCAGTCACCTTTATCCCCTTCTCGGGGCCTCACGCCCTCTTCCCCCATGGCTGGTAAGGACCCCAGGCCCTCCCTCTCCACCAGGCTCCAGGCCAGGGACTCTACAGACAGCAGCCACGGTCTGCTCTGTGATTACCTTAGTGTGCTCTTTTAGGACCAGATGGATGGGGGACCCAGCCCTTCCTTTTTGCAAAGGCAGATTTCTGTGTCTGCAGCAGCCCATACTCTGCCTGTGATGAGCACCTGAACCTGCTCAGTATCATGGCGGTGGGTGGAGAACAACTGCAGTGTGGCCTGCTTTTTGTGCGCTAACCACAGCCCCAAGAATAGTCAGACCCCTCCTCCCCCCTCCCGCCCCGACCGCCAAGAGAGCTCAGAGGCACCGGTGAGTCTTATTCGAGGCACAGATGTATTCACAGACTAGGTGCCTCTGCTTTTCATGCAGGGTGTGATCCTCCTCCTACACAGTGGGTATGTCTGCGCTTGCAGATGGGGCAGGGGCAAGTCCCAGCTCATGAAGACATACTCACGCTAGTTCTCATGGAGCTAACATGCTAAAAATGCTAGTGTAGCCACGGTAGCACAGGCAGCAGTGGTATGGGCTAGCAGCTGCTTCAAGTACAAACCTATCTGAACCCTGTGGGTAGTGCAGGGTTCCTTGGGCTCAGATTCAGATGGAGGCCAATCTGTGTGTGTTGAGGCATCAGGCAACAGTCAGTTAGCGGTCTATCCCTCTGGCGGGCAGAGCAGGGAGCAGACTTTTAGCCTAAGCCTCCTGGCTAAGGCAGCCCACAAACACACAGTCTGGGCCCACAGTCTCCTGGCTGGCGCAAGCCACAAACAAAGCACAGACTTTTTGGCTTAGGGGTGATAGGCTGCCACCCCAGGGGTGGGGTTGGTGGCAGGGGATAGGGTCCCAGCCCAGGGCCCGAACAGTGGCAGATGATTTCACCACTGGGTCAGTGGGGATCCCTCCAAAACATGCTGACTTGGGCTCTAGTAACAAAACCGGACTAAAGTCTGGTTTGCCTGGGCTACTTCCTACCACAGTCCAGGTTGAGGGTTCCGTAGTCCAAGAGTCCTCCATCTTCTTGGGGTACACTGTGGATGGCAGTCCCAGCAGCTCCTCTGCCGGGTTGCTCTCCTCTGGGGGCAGGGCGCTGCAGAGTTCTGCAGCAGTGGAAACATCTGTTTCCTTCCCTGGCTCCCGCTCAACTGAGTTGCAGGGCCCTCCTTTTTTACTTCTTGCCCTGCCCCATATTCCCGGCATGGGGGGCAGGGCTGGCCCAGCTCCACCCACCAGGAGAGTGTAATGGTCCCTCGAGCTCAGGCTCAGAGGGAGGCCACTCTGCCTCACTACAGTACGTACGCGGACAGCTAGCCTGTACCGCCTAGGGTTACCATATTTCAGCAAGCAAAAAAGAGGACGGGAGGAGCACCGCCCTAGCCTCGCCCCCGCCCTGCCCTAGCCCCGCCCCTGCCCCTCCCACTTCCCGCCCCCCTCAGAACCCTTAACCCTCCCCCTGCTCCTTGTCCCCTGACTGCCCCCTCCTGGGACCCCTGCCAATAACTGCCCCCCAGGACTCCACCCCCTACCTAAGCCTCCCTGCCTCTTGTCCCCTGACTGCCCCCTCCTGAGACCCTCCCCCCATCCTAACTGGCCCCCTAGGACACTACCCCCTACCTGTACCCTGATTGCCCCAACCCTTATCCACACCCCCACCCCCAGACAGACCCCTGGGACTCCCACACCCCATCCAACCACTCCCCACCCCCTGACAGCCCCCCCATAACTCCCGACCCATCTAAACCCCTCTGCTCCCTGTCTCCTGACTGTTCCAATCCCTCTCCCCACCCCTGCCCCCTGACAGCCCCACCCCCAGAACTCCCAACCCCCCCCCCCGCTCCTTGTCCCCTGACTGCCCCCTCCTGGGACCCCTGCTCCTAACTGCCCTCCAGAACCCCACCCCCTACCTAAGCCTCCCTGTTCCTTGTCCCCTAACTGCCCCCTCCTAAGACCCCCCCACCCTAACTGCCCCCCAGGACCCTACCCCCTACCTGTACCCTGACTGCCCAAAACCTTCACCCCCCCCAGAAAGCCCTCCCCAAACTCCCGACCCCCCCCGTCTCTTGACTGCCCCCTCCAAAACCTCCCTGCCCCTTCTCCGACCCCCTGGCCCCCTTGTTGTTGGCCTTCGCCTAACGTCTCTGTGAACTTGCTGAGGAACGACCTGAGCCATTCGTCCCGGCACGCTGGGGAGCGGGGGAGGAGCTCCAGACTGCCGGAGGCGATCTGCGAATGCAGGGAGGGAGGGAGTGATCTCTGCTGCAGGGGAGAGGAGGAGGGGCTCTCTCTGGCTGTTGGAGCCCCATGTAAGTGGCACCATCCGGCCGGCTGCCCTGTTAGCCGCGCGCGCTCTGCATGGGGGGGAGTCCGGACATTTACAAATTCCCCCCGGACGCTATTTTTAGTTCAAAAAGCTGGACATGTCCGGGGGAATCCGGACGAATGGTAACCCTAGTACCGCCACTCACTACTGCCTATGCAACCGCAACTACACCTACTATTTTTAGCACCCTAGTTCGATGTGAGGTAGCGTGAGTATGTCTACACAAGCTGGGAATCACACCCCTTGCTCCCAGTGTAGATGTAGCCGGAGTAGATTAGGAAGAATCCACGTAAAATTGGGATAAGCGAGAGGACAACTAGGCCCCCAGTTTGGCGGCTAAATCTTTAGAGCAATGTAGGACCAGCCAGGCTGGATCAGACCTGAGGGTCATCCACACCAGGAGCCTCTCTCCTACCACGGCCATCAGAAGGTGCAAGAGCCCCATAGTAGCAGATGTGAGATAATCTGTGACCCACCCCAGCTGTGTCTCATCCTGGTCTCTGCTAGTTAGCGATTGACGTAAACCCTGCAGTGTGAGGCTTAATACCCCTTCCAGAATTTGTCATCATTAATTACAATAACTGGATATTCATGGCCTGCATATAAATATCCAGTCCCCTTTACAATCTTGTTAAATTCTTGGTCTGAGTGACTTCCTGCGGCAGCGAGTGCTACAGTGTAATCACATGTTGTGTGGGAAAAGTATTTCCTTTTCTGGAGTTTGAATTTCTCACCTTTTAATCTCCTGACTGTCCCCTTGCTCTTGCGTTAGAGGTCAGGGAGAACAGAAGTTCCTCATCTCCCTTGTCTAGCCCATTCATTATTTCATAGATTTTTATGATGATTTGTCCCTTTTCTAAGGTAACAATCCCAGCCTTTCCAATCTCTCTTCATGAGAGTTTTTCCAGGCCCCTGGTCATTCTCATCGCCCTGCTCTGAACCCCTTTAGTTCAGCCCTGTTGTGTGAGAGATGGGGTGACCAGTGCTGCACGAAGCCACATCACTGATTGAAGACATTTTCCATGTTATTTTCCATCCCATTCCTTATGCATCCTGATACCGTTAGCTGCTTTGATCGCAGCTGCACACTGAGCAGAAGTTTCATTGAACTGCCTTCAGTGATGCCCATGACCCTTCCCTTGCAGACTCTACAGCTCCCAGCAGTGTTCAGAGCAAACCTTAATGGGAAAAGTGTGGGTTGAATTTGTCCTTAAAAAATGCCTCTTATTCCTAACCGATGGGCCTGTACTGGAGTGGTACCAGGTGAGCCATGTCCTGCATGAGCCATTTTTTCTGTGAGGCCCCAAAAGGGAGAGGAGGCCTGGCAGTGGGTTCTTGGGTGAGGGAGAGTGAGAAGATGACGGGGGGAGCTCTCCCCTGGTGAGCGTGGGGCACTGTGCAGGCTGGATTGTGTTTAGGTGATATGCCCTTTTTAGCACATCCTGACACGGTTGCAGGAGAGGTGAGGCAGTAGAAGCTGAGTTTGGAGGAGTGCCTCACCCCTAATGCCAAGACGCTCCACTATGCCATGTGTGGGGAACTATGAAGAGAGCTCTCCCCTTCTCTATGGCTCGCTGGGAGGGCGTGGGTCCCCAAACGTCCTTCTTTTGTAACATGGGATCATGGTATGGGAAAGGCTGAAAGTGGGGCATTGTGATGCTTTCCTATTCCACCATCATCTCCCCATCCAGCTTGGGCGCTGCTCTATGCTTTCTGCTAGCAGCATGGACATCAACCAGAGCCACCTGTGTGCATCTGAGGGCAACGTTTCACTTCCCTTTGGAACTCAGGGGTGCAATCTGGGATTTTCTCCTTCCCTCCCCGGGTTTTGTATAAGCACCGCTCTCCTGCATGGGGCCCAATCCTGCTCCCTTTGAAGCCAATTACAAAACTCCCATTGACTTCAATAGAAGCAAGCCCATGGTTTCAGCATCTCTGTGGACAGGCAAACAAAGCAAATGTAGCCGTGGAATGTGTTTGAAAAATACTGATTTTATTAGACGGGTTGATGTACAGGACCAACAATTTTATCCAAATGCACATTATCATGAACACCTAATTGGGAATATATTACAGCATGTAATTCTTTATAATCTGTCTGTCCAGATTCCTGTTAAAAAAGAAGCACACAACAGTGGGTTTAGGGATGTTGGGTTTTTTAGCAAAATTAAAAGATCTTCAGGCTCCCTGTTTTCATTCCTGATGCATTTCCTGTAACTCAGAGACACATTGCTCATGTCACGCTTTATATTTTGTTTCTAATCAGGTTCATTGTTTCATAAAACAGAGACAGTCAGATTGATGGTAGGAGCCTGCTGTGTCATCAGATTGTGCCAGATGAGATGGGCTTTGAACTACAGTCCTTCTTAGACTAACCATCATTTGCTGTGGCCATGCAAGTCATTTCAAGTGTCAAGGGGCTTGGGAAGAAAGGCCATCAGAAATGTGTCCGATTCCCAACAAGGGCTGTGGGAGCCAACCAGAGCTAAGAGTGGGCCCAGCTTGATGTGCAGTTAACAAACAAATGCACTTCTTAGGTCCACTGTTTCTTAAGGGTCACCTGATGTCAGGCCACAGGGGGGTTAAACTTGGAGCGCCAGGAGTGCTTTTAAGAAGAGAATCCTAGTGTAAATTTTCAGATGGGAAGGTGGTTATGATCAATGCATGAGCCTCTATGCTGGGCTTTTGAGCCAGTACTATGCTTTTGTCAGTCACATGTTAAAAGGTGAACTCATCTGATTACAGGAGATTTTCTTGAGTATATGCAGAGATCTTCATTGTCAATGAATGCTTACCCAACAGGACGTCAACCAACAGGCCCAGTACTTGTAGACAACCATGCTTTACAACCTCCATCCTCCTCAATGCTGCCAACATTCCTCGGTCTATATCATGTTGGTAACACCAGCCACACCACAGTCATAACCTACACCAACACCCAAAAGGAGAGCAGTAGCTTTATGACCAGCAGGATGCTAGTGAGCTAGAGGGAACTAGTAAGGAAGGACCTGGGTATAGTGAAAAGAGGATGACAAGAAACGGAGGAAAGAAAAGGTAGGAGAAAGACTGAAGAAAAGGGGAAAGACAAAAAGAAGATGACAGCACAGCGAAGAGAAATAAAAAGGCAAAGAACGAGCAGGAAGAATAAGGCACAGAGAATTAGAAAAGTTTAACAGACTTATTTGCTTATGGTGACAATAAAACATAATGTGATGGCAGAAGCAGTGGCAAAATTAGCACAGTTCTGACAGTGTTTCTTTTCCATTCGCTCCTAAGAAAACCATGCAAACTAGGCCAAGTGACAGGAGCAGCAGGTAAGCTTAATGGAGGACAATGAGAAGTGAGAAAGAGTGGGTGACCAAGACAGAGAAGGATGAGGAGGAGGAATGGGGTAACGTAAAAGAAAGAGAGGAGAAGAAGAACAGAAGTGAATGGAGGAAGCAGCTCCAAGGCAGTCTGAGACCTCACTCAGTATTGACTCACCAGCATGTCACTTCTCTTTGTGCTATTTCGGATGTCAGTTTCTCTGACACCTTTTCTTGCCTTCATTAGCTGCCCCTGTTCCTTTCAGTGCTGTGCACAAAATCCCTCGGCATGTAACCTGCCCTCTTGCAGTACTCATCGATGTACTTGTTTCTTCTCCGGCACCCAGCCTTTGGGGACTCATTACCCATCAGATGTGTCCTCCAGGGTGACACATTTGGATCAAGTCAAACACCCATGAAACAATGCCCACTAGAACTCACCTGGATTGCTTTAAAAGACCGTTTCTTTTAAACTCAAGGTTTCGGCACCAAGGAAGCTGAATCGCAGACCAATGCTAGATATGTCTGGTTCTCCTGTAGCCACAGCTCCATCTCTATTCACACATGTGGATCAGAGATGTGCTGCCTTTCAGGCCCCATGCCATGCTCCCAACAGGCTCTGGTCAGCACCTTCCACTTTCTCATCTGCTCGAGTTTCTTCTTTAAAAAGCCAACATATGGCTTTCTTATTTCCTTTTGTCTTTCTATCTTTGCCTTGCTTTGCTTGGCATTTCATTGAATTCTTGACCCCGGGCAGATAAGGTATGTTACAGTGAGTACTTCTACTCAGAAGGTTCTCTGAAGACCAGCCTCAGCTCTGGTCCATTTGACAGGGAGAATAATGAAGAAAGGCTATTTAGCAGGTCTCGTACACTATTCAGGGCAACATCCACCTTCTTCTTCAGTTAGTGCTTAGCTCAACCACCAGCCATGCTGGGTCATTGCAACCAAACAATGCCTGCTTAGTGAAAAGGGCTCCCATACTTCCCCTGTGCTTTAGTTGCCATCTACAATGAACTATGTCCACTGAGAGGCTGGCACTGGTTCCAATGGCATCATTTCCTGCAACTCACAATTTTGGGTGTTGGTGTGTTGGGGCAGGTGAACAACATGGCAACTCCAACAAATAAATATGACTGCTTGGCTCAGCCCAAATAAGATAGGGCCCAGACACCTTTGACTTCCTAACTTACAGCAAAAAGACTGGAAGAGAAAACAGGCAACAGCTGTGAAATGGAGGGTGTTCCTGTCTTCCTCCAAACCGCACAACAACGCAGGGATCTGACTCGGAGAAAACATGCAACACTGGCATAAACAAGGTCAAAATGCAAATCGATTAACCCTCTGAGCCCTACCAAGGTTTGTGCTTGACTTGCCAACAACTGCGTGACGCTAACAGCAAATGCATACGCTAAGCTCCCTGCCTCTTCTCAGGCACAGGGACAGACCGATGCTTTCAAAGGCTTTCTTCTGAACTTTCTTGAGTTACAACCACTGTCTCTCAAATGTAACTTAAGTGCCATTGCTCTTTCAGCTCCAGTCCATTTCTCCTTATGAGCCAGACTTCCAAATCCCACCTGGGACATGCATTTGGTGCTAACAATGCCATATGTTCCCAGAGATTGGACTGAATCCAGTCTAAACACAGACATGGGGTCTTTCTTTCCCTACCCCTGGGGATAGGAGAGGGCTAATACCTGGGTGAATGCTAAAGATTCTGAGTTACAGCTCAACTGTCATCCAAATGGAGCTCACAAAGAACTGAACCTGATGGCCTACAAGTCTTGGAAAGAAAAAAAAACAGATTATTATTTATTTATAGGCATTTCTGTGGTCCTCGTGCCTATATACAGCCACCAAAAGCTGACATTTACTCTGCTGGATCTCTCTCTCCCCAGGGATGACCCTCTCCGGTTCTCCAGGTCAAGGCGTCGAAGCCTTCCTCCAGGTTATCATTCCAGAGTCTGCGTTTCCTACTCCCTGTCTGCTTAGTGTATGCAAAGGTTGAACTTCTTGTTCCACACTCATGAACTTCAGTACCAGTGAAAAAGCAGGTAAAGCTTTAGTTCACCATTTGTTGCTTTTACTTACAGCTTAAACATTGCTTTCTATTTGAAATAACAAAGATAAAATGTCAGGAATTCACAGTTCTTTATTCTCTTTTCTATGCCCACCCCATTTCCCCTGCCATTAATGTCAATGACTCAAAGTCCTCGTTGTACAGTAGCTCTTGCCAGTGTGGCACTCAAAGGGTTAATAAACCATGGCTTCTTGGACAGATAAGACATAAGCTCATTCACCAATAGGAACACATGAATGGTTATGTTAGTACATAGCATGTTATGGTTTCCTATAGCGGTTCCTTGGGGTTTCACCACAGCCAGTTGTGTCACAGGAGAGAACACTGGGCTTCTTCCCCAAGCCAATACTCCCCAAGAGATCAGGAAGCTCATGAGTAATGGCCCTTTCGATCTTCTCCAGGTAACATCCTCCCATGTAGGAGCACTGCTGAGCTAGCAGCTTGAAGCTGCTGATGGGATTGATGCCGAAGAAGTCCTTATAAGCCTCGCGGTTGGGGAGATCAAACTTGCTGACATTGGTCTTTGCCAGGATGGACTTGAAGATGTAGAACTTGTCAGGGTCTTCCACAATGTCCTTGAATACCAGCTCCCCGTCACTGAAGAAGGTCATTTTGTCCTTGTAGGTTTGCAGATAGCGGTCGACCAGGAGAGCGTGGATGCGAACCCGGATGGCATGTTGGCGGATGAAGGCAATCTTATTCTCCAGCCTGTTTTCAATCACCTGGTTAAGGTCTTCCAGGAGTGAAATCTCTTCTTTAAGGAACAGATCCTTGTGAGTTTCAGGGTGATATTCTGGGGGCCAGAAGGAACTGACATAGACCCTGGGAGGTTCAGTGACATTGATCAGAGGAGCCAAGCTCCAGAACAAGGCGCCATAGACTCTCATAAGCTCCTGGGTGGCGAGACTGTCCGCTTTGTTCAAGATTATTCTTATCTGAGACTCCCGGCCCTTCAGCTGGCGAAACAGCATCTCCAGCTCCAGCCCCACATCCAGCTTTGTAGGGTCAAAGACGACAAAGATGAGGTCGGCTCTGTCGATGAACCACTGGCACACGTCATTGAATGGGTAACCTTTGGGAGAGGAGAGAGAAAAATCAAACAGAAATGTCCAGCTCCCCACATCTAACACAGGACCGATCCATTCAGTCACCAGCATAGATACGACACAAGCCCACCATGTCTCAGACCCCTTCAGACTTAGACTCATGCTGTGGGAAATCTCGTTTCTCAGCTACTAAAGCCATCGCAGAACATCTTGGCACCAATATCCACAATCAGTCTATATTCAGTTGGCACTAGTGCCTTAGCTGGCGTTCTCTGATAAAATCCTGGCCCCAGTAAAGTCAACGGGAGTTTTGCCATTGGGCCAGGATTTCCCCCTGGATTGAAGGTAGATATTGGGAGAGCGGAGGTGGGGATGCTGTGTAATTAATGCACTGATGAGCATATAGGTAAATAACAGATTTTAGTAGACAATTCAAACATTTTATTAATATGGTGGTACTGCCTTCTGCCTCTAGGCCCACTCTGATGTACACTCTTCTGCCTCCTAGTGGTTGGGGGTGTGTTTTGCTTCTTCTGGAATTAAATTCCTTCCAAGTCACTTCCAAACTTTCCTTTTCTCTGTAGCCTGCTATTGATTATCTGTGCTCTGATTGTTTTCTAAGGCCATGTTTTGGCCACTCCAATGCTGCCTAATGTATCTAGTATATGGGCTGACAAACCCCAGCAGTGCTACCCCAGTTGTGAGATACGTTATTCAGGAAGTGCTGGTGTTCCAGCATTCCATCGTGTCCTGCTCTAGCACAGAGACTTTGGCAGGGGCCTGCATCAAAGAACATGATAGAAACATGATAGAAAATGATGGGCAAAGTGCAGCCCATAGGCTAAATACAGCCCAAAGGCCACAAACACCCCCATCTTGCTTAAGTCTCTGAACATTGCCCCTCCATATGAAAGAGGAAGTGTGCTGTATCTGCTCTATTTTATGAATATTGTGTGTGTCCCTGAGGCCCCTGCCAGGTGGCCATTACAAACACAGGCGGGCAAAATTTTGGTGCTTCTGCAATATAAAAATAAACACCCTGCAACACCTCCTCACTGGCCCTTTGTTGTGTGTGACCTAATGAATACAGCGCTCAACTGGGCCTCAGGAGATCTTGGTTCTCTTTCTGGATCAGCCACTATCACTTTTTTTTCCCATCTGTAAAACAGGGAAAATGCTACAGCGCTTTGAGATCTACTGATGAACAGCGTTGTAGAAGAGCAAGGGACTGTTATTATCTCACATTTATAATGCTCCTTCTTTTCTGGTCTCTCTTACAATGAACAAAGCCGGTTACTACCTCGTTCCTGTTGCTTGCGGTTTTCAATGATGCCCGGTGTGTCTACAAAGGTGACCCGCTCTAAAAGCTTATGAGGCACCTCTATCCCGATCAGCTTCTCCAGGAAGTTCTGCCCAAACTTTTCGAGGGGCGAAAAGGAGCGTGCGCTGTCAGCAGCCATCACGATGCCCTCGATGGTCTTCAGCTTTGGGCCGTGCATGATGACCGTGAACTCAGAGGTGGTGGGTTCGGCCCCTGTCCAGTAACAAGAGAAGCAGAGCAGGTGAGCTGTAAAGTCTAAGCTGTCCTGCTGGAAATGAGTCAGACTCTGTGTCTGAGACTATCTGCAGAGGATACTGCTTACTCATGAATATACAGAGGGTGATCCAAAGCAACAGGTATGGTCAGAGAGCATCTTGCAATATCATGTACCTTATGCCTTGTAGAATGTCTTGAGGAAACGTAGGGCAAGTCTACATTACAAAATTAAGTCAACCTAAGTTAGTTCGATGTACAGCCACCACAGTAATTAAATTGCTTTGCATGTCCACATTACACTCCTTGTGTCAGCGGAGCGCGTCCTCACCAGGACTGTCAGTGTGGGGCATTGTGGGATGGCATCTGAAAGGCAGCAAGTGTCGATGTAAGTGACGTAGTGTCTACAGTGACACTGCATCGACCTAACTACATCAACCTACAGGCTATGCCTCTCGCGGAGGTGGAGTTATTAAGTTGGTGTAGTGGGTGGATTACACCGGTGGCAGCTACATTTTAGTGTAGACACTTACAGTGTTAGGTTGATATAGGCTGCCTTATGTAGACCTAACTCTGTAGTGTAGACCAGGTTGTAGCTATTCCATGGATGCACGAGTGCAGTTTTTCCTGCAGTGGTTAATCTACACTGAGATATCACGAATATGCAAAGCACTATAAAGGCCCAACTCCTGCTCTGCTTTCTAGTGCCTTGATTCTCCCTATGCCAGAGCTCAGTACAGTTTTTAATTCAGCAGTGCTACGCTCAGCTGTGTTCAGGGATAAAAGGGAGTGGGAGCTGAGAAGAGGAGATGGGAAATGTCAAGCCTGTTGTTAAAGTAAATTAATTGGCTCCATGCATGGTGGGGAAGGATAGAAGAAAAGGGCAAGTTCCCCTTGTTAGAGGATTGTTACTCTGCTGGCCTGGAAGGTGACCTACAGTGCGATGCCCTATCGGGTTGGAAGATCTCAGTCCTGAGTCTCTGGACTGCAGGAAGTGGGAATGCTGCGGAGGCAGATGCACAGCTTGATCCTGGGGAGTGAAGAGGGGAAGAGGAATCTCATCTGTCTCTCTCTGCACCAACTCCTCTGACTCTTACAGGTGCAGGGTTGCAAGGATTCAAGCCCTCCCTGACCAGAGAGATGGCTGTCACCTAACAGCCTGGGGGGTTGCAATGAATAAAAAGAGAGGTTCAAAGAGCAGCTGGGGACAATGTTTACCAGCCAGGTTCTGGCTGGAATTGACTCGAGAAGTGAATGTACGAATGCCAATGCCTGCTTGTACCCTTTGCACAGCACATTAAGCAGAAACAATGGGCAAGCCGGAGCGCACGTTACCTGTGTACAGCTGGTAGGGCGTGTCGTCCAGCCCTAGGAGGTAGTTTATCATGGTGGATTTGCCAACGCTCCATGGTCCCAAGAACAGCACCATTGGCTTGGACGTAATCTCCCCGTCTGCAGAGAGGAAATAACAAAAGGAAGTGAACAAGCACTAGAATTTGAGCTCCCCGCTGTAACGAATGTCCCAGCTGAAGAGTGAGCAAGAGCCGCCCCGTCCCACACCATTAGCTAAATGTTCCGAGTTCAGGGAAACGTTCTAAAGTTCCTTCAGCCATTTGCAAGAGCAGGGCATAGCGACTGACTTGTGCGGGGCCAGGGTCATGGATACGCGGGTGCACACATGCTACTTATGCTGCTAGGGTTGTGCTTAGCCTTCAGAACCCCTGGTACTGGGACTGAATATGTGGAACAAAACAGTCCGGTCTGTGACTGACCCAGGTGCCCAATGTTAGCTAAGTCTGTGCTGGTGCTAGACAGTCAAGAGACTCCCTCAGTCTGATCATTCATCTGTGAGATGGAAGAAATGATATGAACTTGATTGCTGCCCTCCTGACTATATCCAGAGTGGAACGAGCCTCACCCTTTGGCTGCCTGATGATGTACAGCCTTACGGCTGGACCTCTGTCCACATGGTGCAGTGGGCGACCCCACCAAATGTGCATTGCTTGTGGCGCACAATAGGGTTAAAGTCCTGATCCAACTTCCACCGAAGTCAATGGAAAGATGCCCATTGACTACAGAAGGAGCTGGGGCAGACCTCACTCAACAGTGGTTCTGTAGGAGCTTCACACCCGGATGACCACACATGTCCCAATGGTTACTGTGCTTTAGAATTCTATTAAGTGGAGATGGACAAATTTGGGGTAATTCCAGGATCTCCTAGTACCTCAAATTCAAAGCACCACCCAGCTGTAGGTATTTAACTGATTCCACCCCTCCTGGCCATCTTGGATTATTGCATAAAAGTCCCCTCAGGCTGACCCTACCCAAATTATGAAAGGTCTTGAAAGGAATGTTTTTCTACTCTGTTTTGAAGACGTTATTTGCTTAGTGAATTTTAAGTTAGTTTTTGCAGGCATCTTTTTACAGGCAGCAATGCATTCAAAAAAATGTGCATGCCCCCGCAAAAACATGCCCTCGTGCATGCCAAGCAGGCCATTGTGACTGCAATTATTTCTTTTGTGGAAGCAAATTGGCAATTTGTGTGGACATGGGCAAGTTTTTGCACATGGAACAGACGTGCGTGCATTTTTGCAGGTGCCCCTTTTACAGCTTCTTTTAGAACACAAATCAATTGGAGATTTTGCCATGATCCCCATGATACGCATGGGCAAGTCGAGAGGTGCAAGGCCAGGCTCAGAGGCTGGGCAGGCTGACACAATGGGGCTGGCAGCCAGGGAACATTACATGCCCCAGTTGGTAGGGGCCAGTAGGAAACTCATCAAGGGCCTGATCTTGCACCATTACAATCAATGGGAGTTTTGCTGTGGACTTTCATGGGATCAGGGCATAAGGGCCTGATCCTGCATCCCCTTACTCAAGTGAGGAGTACTTCAAGTGAGGCTACTCATGTAACTAGCCCTACTGAAGTCAATGGCAAGGATTACTGAGGTGAGGTTCTGCAGGATCAAACCTGGAGCCATCTGCTGAGAAGCATGGACAACTAACATCACCAAGGGGCCACAGGGAGTTGCTGTATTCAGCACGTCCCAGGATTCAGGCCTGATCCACCTGGCACTTAGAAAGAGACAAGCAAAGGAGGACTGCAGAGTATGCTGCAGAGGACGCTGCGCAAAGAGCCCATGAAGAGACCCATGGAGAGTGACAACCACAGGACAACCACAGCGAGGGAAAGAGATGTGTGGGAGACATCTCCGCACCAGCGATCAGGCACACTGCCAGCGTCACCCACTCAGTGCAGTGCTCTGTCACCCTCCAGTGGTGGTTGGGCCACAGACACACAAAGGTTGATGAGCCTGCCACAGTTTGGTCCCTCATTGCTGTGTCTCGACTGCCAGAAGCTGGGACTGAACAACAGGAGATGGATCACTTGATGATTGCCCTGTTCTGTTCATTCCCTCTCAGGCATCTGGTACCGCCACTGTCAGAAAACGGGAGACTGGGCTAGATGGACCATTGGCCTGACCCAATATGGCTGTTCTTTTGTTAGCTCGGGCATGTTTTGAGAGCTACCCGTCCCAAGTTCAGTCGTGGCTCCTGATGAGCTGCTCAGGGGTGCAGTGTAACACTAACATTTAAAGAATTGTTTCCATGTTCTAAAACTGAAACCATTGCATAGGACGGGAAAGGGAGGGAATATGCTGAAAACAACCATGTATTTTATCACATTTACTCTGCATAATAATTTATTATACCTATCGTTTTACACTGAGTAACTTAAATCCTATATTATACACTGTATAATAAATGTCATTATAGAAACAAAGTAAAATGTATAATTGATACAAACATTTAATACAGGCAGTACGTTCATATGGAAATAATATATTATTGTATCTACAAATAATGTATTATCCATATATAAAGCAAAACATATCGCCAGCAATATGGGTTATACTTTTGCACTAGGGTTACAAATAAGAATGAATTAATCCCTGCAATCTCTCTGGCTCTGACTTAGGGCAACACTTACACTTCTGCTTAAAATCAGTGGGGCTTAGAGCTGGGCAGGAAGTGATTTTCCCATTCTAGGAAGATATCTGAGATTTTTTTAAAAATGGTTTGGATCAACTGAAACATTTTGCTTCAATTTCAACTATTTTTTAATTTTAAAAGTTGGGGTTTTGTTTTTTTACTATAATGAGCTCAAATTTTGAAACTAACATTTGTTTCAAACTGGGAAACCAGAATTTTTGGTTTCAAAAATGTCAAAATGTCCCATTTTGACAATTTCAAAACTTGTTTTTCAACATTTTTTCGAGTCGAGAATTTTGGCCAAACTGACCCTTTCCTGTTTTGATTTTGATTAATCAACATTTTCAACAAGAAAACAGTTACCAAGAAATTCCTGACCAGCTCGAGTGGGATTTAAGCAGGTGCTTCAGTAGTTTCCTGGGTAGGACCCTTGTGAGGTAGGGAAATATTCTTCTTCTAATGTTATAGATGGGGAAACTGAGGCACAGGGAGGGTACGAGAATGGCACAAGGTTACCTAGAGACTCTGAAGCAGATTCAGGAAGGCAATCCAGATCAATCAGCTCCCAACCCATGGCCTTACCCCCACTATGAGCTGAGAATTCCTATGGCTTCAGTCTGTACAAGACAGCTGAATATTGTATAAAATGGTGCCAATTGGATAATATTTCAAACATACTTTGCATGGGGAAATGGTGTTTGTTTGACAGAAATGGGAGGGGGGTCTGGGTGGGCTTTGTGTGTGCTGCCAAGAGCCACAGGGATTTCTGCCATGGTGGGAGAGGCAACTTTACATCACAGCCCCGCCAGGAGTCATGTTTTCTCTCTGGCACCACCCCTGAATTGCCTCAAAGGGAATTTCCCCTGATATTTCCTCTTTTGGCCCCATCCCCCTTTCCAGCTGCTCACCCCTTTCTGAACTCTAGAGGTGAAATCATGCCCCATTGAACTCAATGGGAGCTTTGCCCTTGACTTCAGTGGGGCCATGATTTCACCTAGGTGGCCTTCACCCCCTTTTGCACAACCTGTGAACTCAATATTGGTGCAATTTCAGGCCCTTAGCCATGGAGCTCTGATTCCTAGCACCCCATGTGCAGCATTCACTGAGGCCTGTGATGTTGAGTCTAGCGGTGTTCCTTGAAGTCAGTTGGAAGGGATGCTGGTGAGCGAAATGAGGAGCTTCTTTCTCTCCCTCCAGCCCAGATGCTGAGCTCTCTGCCTGCACAGTGGTCCCAGCTCAGGGAGTGAGAGGTCAGAAATGGCATGTGGTCACCAATCACCAGGGGCAAGTTGTCAGTCCTCAGCGTTGTCCCTGTGCTTCCCTCTGCCCCTCTCTGCCCTCAAACCCTCACCTCTCCCTGCATGGGAGCTCAGACAAGAACTTTAATCTGGAGTGGAGCTTTTCTCTCCTGGGGTTGTCAACGAGGAAAGAAAACAGCTCTGGTGGCAGTGAACATAAGAACAGCCATAATGAGTCAGACCAAAGGTCCATCGAGTCCAGTATCCTGTCTTCCGACAGTGGTCAATGCCAAGTGCCCCAGAGGAATGAATAGAACAGGTAATCACCCAGTGATCCATCCCCTGTCTCCCATTCCCAGCTTCTGGCAAACAGACGCTAGGGCAGTGTCACCAACCCATCGATCATGATTGACTGGTTGATCCTGGAGCCTCTGCCAGTCGATTGCGATCTCCGGGCCACTAAAAGTCCGGTGGTACAGCGGGGCTCAGGCAGGTTGCCTGCATGCCCTGGCCCCACGCTGCTCCCGGAAACGGCTGGCTGCTGGCACGTCTCTGCGGCCCCGGGGGAGGGGGGGGAGGTGTCTCTGCGTGCTGCCCCCACCCCCAGCATTGTCCCCACAGCTCCCATTGGCCAGTTTCCGGCCAATGGGAGCTGCGGGGGCAGTGTTTGTGGGCAGCACATGGAGACCAGCTGCCCCCCTTCTTCGCAGGGGCTGCAGAAACATGCCAGCAGATAGCCGCTTCCGGGAATGGCATGGGGCCAGGACAGGCAGGCAGCCTGCCTGAGCCCCGCTGTGCCGCCGACCGGGAGCTGCCTGTGGTAAGCGCCTCCGGTCGGAGCCTGCGCCTTGCCCTCCCTCCCGCACGCCAACGCCTTACCCCAGTCCAGAGCCACCTCCTGCACCCAAACTTCCTCCCAGACCCTTCACCTCCACCTGCACCCCAATCCGCTGCACCAGCCCGGAGCCACCTCCTGCACCAAACTCCCTCCTAGAGCCCGCATACCTCACCCCTTCCTCCAGTACCGGGTTTACAATGGCACCAGTGGCACCATGGAGTCAGGTCCATGCTCAGAAGGGGCCACGGCCTGCTCTGCTTGCACTGCGCCCCAAGATTTTGCCAGCCCACTGGCTCCCCCCTCCCATCACTTGCTCCTCTCGGCCCCCTGGCCCCACCCGCCATCTCCTCTATGCCCCCTGGCTGGACCCCAGTGCACCTCCG